ATATATATATATATACATATATATATATATATAAAATGTATATATATATTGTATGCCTCTTTTGTGACTGTCTATTGTTGTCGTTGATACTCACTGTTGTCATCACTCTGTTAAATTCAGGTCTCTCTTGTAAATGAGTCCCCGAGGATCAATGGGATTAACCTGTCTAAATAAAGGTTGAATGAAAAAAACAGTAAACCTATATACCTTTGTGCAAAATATTTAAGTGGGGTAGAAGTTGCACTGTAGAAGAACAGATGTAGTTGGGGTTTGTTGTTGTTGTTTGTCTGGTAGTTATCGTTTAATTTTTTGCTTGTCTGAGATAGTGCAGAGTGACGCATCATGGAGAGTGGAGGGTGCCATTGTGTGCAATGGTGAAACCAAGGGGTGGCCAATGGTGGCCATGGCCATCACAGATTAATCTTCAGCCACCCCAATAATTTGAGGAAACTACATTATACTTTTAAGCAATATAAAAACTAGAAAGCAAATAGCATAGCATACTTACTCTGCAGTCACTGCTGACTAGAGCCCGATGTTTCTTTATGAGCAACAAAGTCGGAGTTTAAATCTGTGCCTTGACAAGTGAATTTAGGAGGTCAGTGGTTCAGTCCTCACCTCCCCCAGGTCAAAGGTCAAAGTGTTTCTGAGCAAGATAGTAAAATCCTCACACACCCCTGCTGTGTATGAGTGGGAGAAAACTGCTGAATGAATGCATGACTGAACACATAAATCTTTAAAATACAAGAGAAATACTGTATAAAAGCAGCCCAGTTACAGTAAATCTAAACATCTGTGTGTTAAAAAAAGTTGCCATTTTATATTAATGTTATCCTTTGAAACTGGCTAAAATAAGACTTTGTGTTTGTAAATGAAAGCTTGTGCAAATCATGCATTGTTAACACTTTCAGCACCAGATTATTGATTTGTTGCAAAGACTGATGCTTTTTATTTCTCGGTAGCTGCACAACTATCAGACGCCCTCACTAAGATCTTTGTCACGTTCTGCTAGAAAAATGACAAAACAATTCCAGCAAGGCTCTGCTGGGGTCTCTCTCAGTCCTGCATTCACTGCATCATGGGTTTATCATTCCTCCAAAACAATTTCAAAAATGTTTGCAACACGGTGACATCATTAATGGGTCAGTGAGGAACTATCAGTTCCCAAAGAGATAAGGCGGTACATCACATTCTGAAAGAGCAGCCAATAAAACAACCGGTCTTCACATACAGATACATTTATCTCAATTATATAAACGTGTTTATACCAACTATCATGATAAAATGTCTCATTCAGATCTAAAGTCTTGCATTTAGGAGCAAAAGGATTTTTAAAAGTATTGAAAGTAAACACAGTTGCCATATTACAGCTCCAATACTGAACTTTGTTAAAATGTACAGTATATAAAAGTAAAACGCAGTGCTTTCCAAATCTCAAACACATTTTTATTCACAAAGAAATATGGTAAGGAAATTAAATGTTCGACTAAAATTAGTTTGGCTGGCATTGCTGGTAGTACGTCAAACCCCTTCATGGTGGGAGTTGGACTCCGTCAGGGCCGACTGTGGCCACCAGTTCTGTTCATAACATTTATGGACAGTCTGGTTAGATCTCGGGGTTTTGTTCACGAGTGCGGGAAGAATGGAGCATGAGATTTACAGACGTATTGGTGTAGCGTCTGCAGTATTGCAGACTCTGTGCCGGTCCGTTATGGTGAAGATGGAGCTGAGCTGTTCGGTCTTTGTTCCTACCCTCACCTATGGCCACAAACTCTGGGTAGTGACAGGAAGAACGAGAACGTGGATACAGGTGGACAAAATGAGTTTCATCCGCAGGGTAGCTGGACTCTCCCTTAAGAGATAGGGTGAGAAGTTCAGTTATCAGGGAGAGACTCTTGAGTAGAACCGCTGCTCCTCCACGTCGAGAGAAGCCAGTTGAGGTGGTTCGGGCATCTGGCAAGGATGCTTACAGGGCACCTCCCTAGTGAGGTGCTCCTCTGATTGGGAGAAGACCCTGGGGAAGACCCAGGACATGCTGGAGAGACTGTGTCTCTCGGTTGGTCTGAGAACGCCTTGGAATCCTAGAAGAGCTGGAAGAGGTGGTTGTGGAAAGAGATGCTCCCTGCTCAAGCTGCTGCCCCACAACTTTTTTCAACCTTTATTTAAACAGACTTTGGAACAAGCGGAAGATGATAAATGGATGGATGGACCGATTGAAGGATTTTATTTTTATTTGGTTTTATAGAAAATGTTACTTTTAGAAGAAAAAATAAGTGACTATAATGCACATTTTCAGAGTGAGCCCTAAATAAACTACCACAACAAAGAACGTGTCATTGAGCCATATCACTGAATCACAGCAATCCCTTCTGTTAAAATCTATTACAATTTCCATTTGAATAATAAGTGCTTATATTTATGAGTAAAAAATAATAATTTAGATAATCATCTGCTCTGGTTTTGTATCAGCCTCTATAAAAACATCTCAACATAAACAGGTCTCACTTGTAAATGAGTCTTCCGAGGCTCAATGTGACACATCTGTATAAATAAAGATTGAATGAAAAAAAAAAAAAGTTATCCTCCAATTGTCACTAATATTTAAAGCCACAGAAGATCGATGTAAAATATATAATAAGGCCTATGAGACACACCTGGCACAATCTACTGTAAAGAGACCCCAGAGCACAAAGAAACAAAACAAGACTTCAACTGGAACATCTTGTAAACAAAAATACTGTGTATTCCACTGGCTCTGTTCCCTCTGTTCTGTCCCATCCTAAAAAATGACAATGTCATTTCTGCTCCAGTTACTCCTCATGCCACGGTGGAGCGTTCTCACTCACCGCTCGAGTCCTCAGACTCCCCACCCCTGCCACTGCTCACGCTGAGCCAATATTGTGCTTAAATCTCATGCTCCGATTGTCATGGATGAACTCCGTTTGGCACAATTAGGTGGACTGAGTAATTATACTGGCACCCTGTGTCCAGGCGGACCACACTTTGAACAGCTGAATGTTTACGGTGAAAGAAACCCAAATATAGATCCCGGTCCTCAGTCCACCCCTGGCACAGCAGTGGAGGATGAAGAACCAAAACAATCTATGGCCACATCCTTCTCGTATGAAGGTAAACAAGTTGGCTAACAAAATATGAGATGTTTCAGCATTTTTTTATTTTCTTTTTATGCTTCTAAAACAACTTCTAAATGATTGTTTGGGGGTTAATGTGACTTTAATTCATGAGGGACTTTGCAAAAGTGGCTTTAGAAAACAGCAAATATTCTTCACTTGTGTTTCCATCTAAACAAGCGGTATGCCTATGTCCCCATCACGGAGGGATTTGAATAGTGAATGTAGTTTTTGACCGCCATTTGCAATGGGAACCAGGGGGTGGCATATGGTGGCCTTAGGCATCATAGATTACCGGTCTCAACACAGTTCATTTGCAAATAATCTGAGTACCAATTTTTGTTTTAACACTCGTTACCTCCCTCCAAATCCCTCTGTATTTGTCCGTTCTCATTCTTTTAGCTTTTAAGGCTTAGTTATACTTCACGATGTTAACACATTGGTCATCACTGACGTTTTTGAGGACCTTTTTCTCTGATATTTTATACTCAAAAATAAATTGCAGGGGAGAAATCCTGGTATGAGGCTCCTCTCACTGCAACACACGTCACATGCAATCAGATCCAGCACAGACTGTGCGGTTTTCAGAGTGGATGTTTAGTTTCAGCTGATAATGGAGGAGTTGGAGGAAGAAAATCTAATATTTCTGTAGTTAACCGAGGATATTTATTTATTTATGAATAAAGACCTGAAGCTCTCGACCTTGACCTCTCTTAAGTGGCTTTATAAATCTGTTGGACTCCTGGCAAGGACCAATGCAGACATGTTCCTGTTTTTAGTTTTCTACATTCGCCTTATAATGTAGCTGTTTTTGTTACTCTTTTAGCCATCTTATTTGTAAAAAAAAAAAAAATCTGTATGCCATTTTTATAACTGTCTATTTTTGTTGCCGTTGTCCATTGTTGGCATCAGTCTTTGTTGAAATCAGGTATCTCTTGTAAATGAGTCCTCGAGGCTCAATGGGATTTACCTGTCTAAATAAAGGTTGAATTAATTTGGTAATTTGTTGCAAAGAGCACCACTATTCCCAACAGATGGTGCAGGAATGTGTCCCTACGCTGCCCAGGGAAGGTGCACTACCTGCTGGTCATGCCTGTTCAAGTCTTGTAGCCGTCTCCTGTGTGCACAAAACTGTCCAATTTCTCTCCATGAGTTATTTTAAGATCTTTATAAATTGTGACTTTTTAAAATAATTTATATTTATATACAGCCAGTAGCTCCACAGCAGATGCTGCCTTCAGAGCTCAGCAGACTGCAGCCACTTTACATAAACAGGCACGGACAAAAAGTGCTGACAAATCACACATAAGAAACTAGTTGTGACGGGAGACTACGCTCAGTCCGCGGGTGGAAAGAGAGGAAATGTACACAATTTCCGTCATGCACCCACATCAGAGACACGACAGTGAACCTTCTCAATGAGTTTAAATGAGCCTTTAGTCATCGTTTCTTTTCAGAAGAAACAAGAATTTTTCCACTTTGGACCTGGTGTCACTGACTTTCTGGTTCTCTCTCTGACTCTGTTTACATATGGAGAGTACTACCGACAATATCTGTTGAGACTCTCTGAAGTGAAATATTCATGTTTGGATGTAAACAAACAACTCATAATTGTTGGCAACAAAACACGACTACTGATTTTGCTAACTTATTAGGAATTAGATGGTAGACGTTTGGTATTGAATAATGCGTACTGGGGGTTTCTTATCATAGATGCACAACAAAAAAAATTCTACACAAAAAAATGGCAAATTTTGGCATTGAGAACCATATAATGTAGATATAAAGAAAATATACTGGGTCCAAAAAAATGCAAAACTATCACAGCAACTGCTTAAAAATAAACATTTGTACTAGCTGTAGACAAACCTTGATGGTTCGGAGAACTCTGATTCGGTGACTGCTGGAAGTTTGGACGAATGAGGTCCGGCTGTCTGTGATTGGAGGAGCAGTCTATGTTGTCCTGCTGAGATAAAAACAACAACAACAAAAAAAAACACTTGTCAAGCTTCTAGAAACTTTTTTTTTACAGCAGCAAAAAGCAAATACACTGCTAATAGTGGCTGAAATGATAACTATATATAAAAAATAAAAATAAAGATTATTTTGTGTGAAAATTTCAACGTGACCTCTGTCACGTCACATTTGGAACTACCGTAAGTTTGCTGTACAAGTTGTGGATTTTTGCATAATTTGCATGCCCTGCAACCTATAGGCCGAAGCGACGTACTTGCATATTTTTTTCCCATATTTATAAACCAATTTTTGGCTGAGATATGACTGTTTTCATTCATTCTGACTGAAAAGAAGAAGAGTACCATTTTCAGCCTCTTGATGGGAGCAGAGTAGTAATAGAAGTATGGAATGCCGTTGTATCGTGTAATAGGTAAACGTAGCTATAATGACAAATTAAAACAAAGTTCCAGACAAAAACAACTGGACTTTATTTATTATACTTTAAACTTTATTGTTTTTGTCTTGAACTTTTTTGAATTGACCATGTCCTGGATGACAGAATCTTCACCAGCTTTTAATGACAGAACTGAATTGCCACATTCGTTCTGCTCGCTGCTTGGAGCTTCATTTCACTGCACCGCCCCGGCGAAATGCAGCTAATTTGGCCATTAAAGTGCATTTATTAAGTAAACGATCAACAGACACACCTTTGCTATCATTTTGAGCAAACAAATAATTGTTTTAGGTGCTTTTCTTGTTGAATTACGAAGAAACGAGCGGCGTTCCTCCTTCCTTTTTTTCCCCTCCCTCTGGGCGCTCCTAGAGCACCGAGGCAGCGAATACTTTTCAAATGCAGCTGATTTGACTGTTAAAGTCCTTTTATTAAGCAAACGTTAGACTGAAACACACCTTTACTATAAAGTCAAGCAAACAAATAATTGTTTTTAATGTTTATCTTGTTAAATTGCAAAGAAATGGGAGGCTCGTCCTTCTGTGTGTGCTCGACGATTCCGCAAATCGGGTTTTGAAATGCAGCTGACTGGACCGTCAAAGTGCATTTATTAAGCAAAAGGTAAACTGAGACACCTTTACTATGATTTCAAGCAAACAAATAATTGTTTTTAAGTGTTAATCTTGTTAAATTCTTGTTAAAGTCCTCCCGTGCACGCTCCTGCATCTGCCATTTGGCAGCATATCGATTTTTGGCACAACACCGGCCCACATTTCCAAGTTGCCAGCGGTGACGTGTAACAAACGCGACGTGTCAGCGGGGACGCATGATAGTTGCGACGTATACAGCGAAACAACATATTTGTATTTTTCCATTTTTTTAGACATATTTGGACTGATACGACTTTTATGGTGGTGCAACATGCACAGCGGAAATTATGATAAATCTGAAAAAAAAATGAATAAATAAATAAATGAAATGTGTTTTAGACAAAAAGTCAAAACTTAAAAACAATCAGAACTACGACTATTGCTACAGTTTAACACAAGTTGAGCTCCACAGATTACACAAAGGGCCAGTACATTCCTGTGATTGGACATAGATTGTATGTGTATCGGGTCCAAACAGCGAAGTAATCACAGAACCGCACAGTGTGTTTAAACCCTTTACTCACTTTCAACATTTTTCATCAGAAAGATACGACTTAAGAAAAATAAAACAAACAGATTTCACAATGAATCGTTTCTGGCACCCACAACTACTGAAGATGAAAAATTAGTGTGTGGTGGGGGGAGGTGCGTGTGTGTGTGTGTGTGTGTGTGTGTGTGTGTGTGTGTGTGTGTGTGTGTGTGTGTGTGTGTGTGTGTGTGTGTGTGTGTGTGTGTGTTGGCTAACTGTTGTCCCGTACATCCGAAGTGGGAACAGAAAGTTCTGGGGTGTACTCCTGTGTTCAGGAAAACATCTCGGCTGAGTCGGACCTCCTCTGATGCTGTAATAGAAGCAGCTGCGGGTTCTGGTTCTGCTCCATTTAGAGCAGTGACAGACAACACAGGCAATTTGGATTTTATTACACAAGCTTTTTAATTCTTGTTCTTCCCACTGCAAGTTGGTATTCCCCCCATTTTTTTTAATAATAGCTGCAAGTTTTATGGCTTTCAGAGAAATCGGGCTGCAGTGATGAAATTATGTTGAGTCCAGCTCTCATTGAGCCGTTCTGTTTTTGTTCTGTGGATATTTTCTACTGCATCTCGTTTATAAAGCCACAGAACAAAATCTATTGCCATTTGAGTTATCAGTAGTATTTTGCCCTGCTTCACTGTCCTAACATTCTAGCTCACTGTTCAAAGCAGGACGCTTTCAGTGCAACGACGATTTTTAAGATGTATTCAAAGAACCAGAAGTCGGACAAAGTTCAAGTTGTGAGTTAACTAAAGTCACTGCAGAGCAGACTGATTGGATTTGAAGATTGCTTGTTTAGATTAAGAACATGGCAAGTCCAAAGAAGAACAACAAGAAGACTCTTCAGCTACAGAATAGAAGTCCAAGTGGTTTGATTTTAACGTTTTTAGGGTGAAGGCAGAATTCACATTTCATGCTGTAATTTGTTAATACAAAAGCTAAAGTAGGTATCCCACATCTCTAATATGTCAAGTCCCCCTTCAATGAAGGATTTGAATAGTGAATGTTTGTAGTTTTGGAGATAAGTGTTTTTATGGACTGGGATTGAACAGGGAATATAAGTAAACCTTAATGCTGTTGGTGCAAGATATTCCAAGTGAGCAGGAGTTACACTGTGGAGAAGAATGGAGGGAGTTTTGTTTATTTATGTTTTGGTTTGTCCAAGGCTGCGCAGAGTGATGGATCCTGGAGAGGGAGCAATTTTATCCGCCACCAGGAGCAATGGTGGAGCCAAGGAGTGGCCCCGTAAATCCTCAGTGTCAGTGTATTGTGTATTATTTGCACTCATCGTGATCAATAAGTCTCCTGTGGGAACGTTCTGCAATGTCCTTCAGCTCGTTTGTGATGTGTGATATTAAAGGCCCCATGTAATCGCTCTTACAGTGACCAGTCAGTGAAGAACAGAAGGAACTGGTTGTTTTGATATCCTCAAGGGCTGATTGATATGATATTGTTACAGTAGAGTTGATATGATATGGTGACGTGCCTTCAAGCAGAGTCCTTGACTTGGATCCAATCCTTCATGTCTACAGCGGACCTTTTGATGACGGCTCAGACATGGAGGGAAGGAGCTGGGGCCTGGGCTGGAGGGTATTCTATAAAACTAACTTGTCTGGTTCAGGAAGTTTGAGTTTGAGCAGGTCAGGGTTTCACACGGATGAGAGAACTGATGAGTGCGATCCTAATTACATGTTCTGTGAATGTTGGACTGCTCTCCAAAGCTTTGTAAATAAATCTGATGAACTACACCTTGGTCTGTTTGGGAATCTCCTTTATCCACAACACTCAGCCACCTCAATCATTTGAGGAAACTATTCATTTAAGCAAAATAAAAACTAGAAAGCAGTTTCTTGAAAAGATAGTGGTTATTGAAGATTAATTTATTGGGGCCAAGGCCACCATTAGCCACCCTCTGGCTCCTCCATTGCTCCTGGTGGTGGATAAAATGTCAACCTCCACTCTCCAGGATCCATCACAGAGCAGCCAAAGACAACCCAACTCAGTTCTTGTACAGTGCAACTCCTACCATCTTGCACCAAAGACATTAAGGTTTACTTACATTTCCTGTTCACTTCCAGTCCAGAAAAACACTCATTTCCAAAACTACAAACATTCAGTATTCAAATCTCTCAGAGAGAGTGAACACTGGTGCACTGCTTGTTATGCCATACGTCTCGCTCACACTCACAGTGTTTAACAATCAGAGATAAAAGCACACAGACAGGGTCCAAATGGGACAGAGGGCAGTCCAGGTTTAGACAAGGAGCTTAAAGGGGTCATTTCATATAGATGAAAATGAAAGGAGCTCTTAACAGGAGCCTAAGGGCTGAAGGTTCAGCCTTTAAAAGGGGTCAGGGGAAGGTCTGGGACAAGGTTAAACCCCAAACACAGAGCAGACTCAAGATTCTGGAGGTGGAGCTGCAAATAAAAGGTGGAGGTGGTGTTAAAGTTTTGCCTTCAGGAGGGGTCAGACTCTGGGTAAATGTTATGACCAGACCAGGGCCTGAAAATGGCTCCAAGCTGAACTCACCAAGAGGCTTTCTGCTAAAAAGGAGCAGCTGAGATGGGTTAAGAACAACACTTCAAACTCTTGGCTCTGGAACGCTAGGTACTGAGCAGCTGGTGTTTTAGAAGAAAAGGATCTTTAATCCAGCCTTCTTTTATTCTTGTGACTTGCCAAAATTGCATAATGCTGAGATGGGAACATGTCAAAACATGTAATCAATTTCAGGGAGAAGTTTCTTACTTTTTGAAAAGTTTGGGAACATGATACAGATTTTTTTTTTGTTTTACTGAAATAACTTTAGGTAAAGCTAATCAATAGCTAAAAACTAAATTAGCAAAACACTGGGAAAAACATTAAAAAGTAACAGTAATAAAAAGCTAGCCGTTAAATATATTTTTTAAAAATCGGGCAAAAACAAAACAGGATAGCTTAATGAAGCAAAGGAAACTTGCAAAAACATAAAAGTAGCAAAAAGTAGGAAAAATCTAAAGTAGCAAAACACTAGCTAAAACAGCAAACATTTAGCTAAGTTAGGTTATGTAAGGATAGCTAGAAGCGAAAAGTAGCAAAACACTAGCTAAAAGCAACACACAGACACACACACACTATTTTTGGCAAAAAAAAAGTGTTAGCTAAATGCTAAAGTAGCAAAACACTAGCTAATAACTAAAAAGCAACACACACACACACACAAATATATAATTAATTTTATTATTTTTGGCAAATCAGCACGGTGGTGCAACTGATAGAGCTGCTGCCTCTCAGCGAACAGGTCCCTGGTTCAAATCCCGGTCCACAAACCTTTCTAGGTGGAGTTTGCATGTTCTCTCCGTGCATGCGTGGGTTTTCTCCGTGTACTCCAGTTTCCTCC